TCACAGCATCTTCATCTGGCGGCGGTTCCACATGCCTCGCTTGGAATGGAAGTGATGGAAGAAATTCCGGAGGGAGAGACGTTCCACTTCCAGGCCTGCTTGGAGGATTCTGAAGCGGAGGGAGCAAGGTAAGCAGGAGCAGCGCCCCCCCCCTCCTCACCCTCCGGCCACTCCCCACGGGGCGGCGGAGGGGTGCAGGGCGGAGACAGCCAATAGCCTGGGCTGGAGGCCCAGCTCCGCACTGTGGGGCGCGCTTCCTCCCGAGCCTCTATCTCTAGAAAGGACGACAGTGAGATGGACACAGCGCAGGGAGGCGGGAGGGGCCAGGGATGATCCCTGCTGCGACCTCCTCTTCCCGTCCACTTGCCCGCCTGCCAGGCAGCTTGGCCGGTCTCTCCTCCTCCTACCACTGACCCTCTCCCCTGCCCCGACGGCCTTTCTCCTGGGCTTCTGGGAATCCAGGACCTCCTGAATACCTCGTTGTCCTTCAATGGTCCACACTGGCTCTTTTGCTGGACCCCAAATTCTCTCCTGACACTTTTCTGGGTCTCTTATCCACCCACCCAACCTCAGCCTCCTCCCCAGCTGTGTGCTCCTGGCTGAGAACATTACCATTCACACTGGCACAGCTCAGAGTCTGTGCTCTTATCCTGATGGTCTGCCAAGCACCCTCCACACCTGCCCAGCGACATGGGCAGAGGCAGCACCACCCCTCCAATGGCTGCGGACTCTGTCTCAGTGAGGGAAGTAACTTGACCCCCAGGAAGTGGCAGAGTCCAGTGTCAGACTAGGGGGCCTGGGCCTGGGGGATCAAGCCCTGCTCCAGCCCCCAGCCCCCCTGGGGAGGCCCCCAGGCGTCTCAGGCGCCCTCCCCCCCAGTCACCTGTCCAGCAGCTCCCAGTCCTCTCCGCCCCAGCGGTCTCGGAACTCCTTGGTGTTCATGCCCCCGATCCTGTCCAGGTCTGACTTGTAGATGCCGAGCAGCCCAAACCCGTTCACCTCCCAGTAGCCTGCGGATGGACAAGAAGCCCCAGAGGCGCTGAGCCAGGGCCAGGAGGGCACGTCCGCATCCCCAGGGCCTCTTCTGAGAGACAGAGGACAGGGCTGGCCGAGGCTGAGAACGCTCACCCGGAACAAGCCCCTTGCCGGTTGGCAGGGAGGCCCCCGTGAGCTAAGGCTCAGGGTCCAATGAAGGCAGCAGCCCCACCAGGGAGGGACCAAGGGCTGCGGACGGCCCACAGGAGGCTCTGACAGCAGCAGCCCGCAGGGCAGAGCCTGGCCCGTTCCCTCTCTAGGCCAGGGAAACCTCCTCCCAGCTCTGCGTCCTCACAGGGCAGACTGGCACACAGTAAGTGCTTAATAAATATCTGATGAGTGAATGAAGGAGGAGGCGAGGCGGGAAGTGCTCATCACTGCTGCGCAGCTGGGGGCCTGGGGCCGTCTCTGCAGTCTGCCCAGGTGAGCAGAGGAGTGGAAGGGAGGGTGGGGAGGGGAGCTGCCCTTGCCGACATGGCCGTTTCCAGCTCTGGGGTTAAGAGCCAAGGCAGGCTCACCCTCTGGCCACTGGGGGGTGGCCCCGCAGTGCAGCCTCATCACCATGGGGGCGAAGGCCATCTTGCCCTCCACACAGTGCTTCCGGATGGCATCGATGACTCCGTCTGGGAAGTGGATGTGGAGGTCACAGAGGAAGATGATGCTGTGTGGGTCCTGGGGACAGAGGTGGGAGGGTCAACAGACACTACAGCCTGGGGTGAGGGGCCAGGCCGCTCTCTGGGACCATCCTCAGGCTCTTTCCCATTCAGTGACTGAGAAACTTGCACGAAACAGTCAGACTGACTCCACGGTTCTGGGCATCGAGGCACAGTTCTCACGACCAGAGGGAGTTCTGACTCCTCCCCACTCTTCACGGACTCCGAGGACTCTGGACAAAAGTCCCACCGTCTTGTGCTGACTCCCACCCTGGCCCTGGCCCCCATGTCCTTGTCCCTTCCTCCCAAGGAGCCGGCCGTCTGAGCACCTCTCCACCCACCTGTAGTCGCGTCTCCCATGCCCTTCCCGGGCTGTTACCTTCACCAGGTCCACACCAGCCTGGAGTCCAGCCGAGCGCTCGAAGTTCCCACTTAGCTTCATGTACTGGTAGCTGCAGGGGGAGCAGAAAGGGGGGCTGAGCGCTGGGACCCGGCGGTGGCAGTCCCTGGAGGAAGCTGGCAGACAGACTAGACATGATGAGGGCTCCCGGGGTGGGACTACACGTGGTGAGCCCTCTGGGAAAAGCCAGAGACTGGGAATCAGGGAACTGGTGGGACTTCCGACTCTGCCCTGGGCTCAGCAGCCCTGAGACTTCAGGAAGGAGGCGGCTCAGGCTGTGCCTCGCCGGGAACACCCTCACCTCCTCAGCTTGGACCTTTTCAGGGCCATCTCGACATCCATGTCCTCACTGCTGAAGTCAGTGATGATGACGCTGAAGTGGGGGTCGCCCGTGACCCGGAACAGCGTCTCCATGTCTCTGATGAATTGCTGCACCCAGCGTGCCTGGTTCTTCACTGCCCGGCGGGGCAGGTGGGGAGGAAAAAGCAGAGGTAACGCAAGAGGGGCACCTCCACTCCCGGTTCCTGCGCGGTCAGGAGTCCCCTCAGACCCTTGCTTGGGGTAACGCAACATGGGAAAGGCCAGCAGAGCAGTAGGGGATGGAGGGCAGAGGGTGAGCTCAGTTGCTGGGCCTCTCTACCCACTCCCCGCACACACGGCCTCCCAGGCAGGAAGGCCTTGGGCTGCGGCCCGTCACCAGCCCCGCGTGGTCACCTTCCTGGGCTCTGACACTCTAACCCTCCAGCTGTGTGTCTCACCACGCCCTTCAGGCCCGTCTGACCCCACGGTCACACTCCCGTCTGTGGCGGGCTCCACTCTCTTGTTATGGACACCGCCCTGCGGGCCCCTCCCTGTCTCATGTCCCCAGGCCAGCTGTGGGGCGAATTCCAGCGCAGCAGCCCCCGCTGACCTTCACCCCACCCCCGAACACTTATCCAACAGGAAGGCGCTGGCCCTGTGTCAGCACTGTCCCTGCTCTGGCATCTACTGCCCCACCTCAGACCAGTTACTTTTCTCCTGTGAGCCTCAGTTTCCCCAGCTGCAAAGTGGCCTCTCTCACAGGCTCTCATGAGATCCAATCAGGACGCAGAGACCCGGGTGCTCACGATAATGCGAGGCCCCTGCTCCACGGACGCCGCCCGCCATGGAGGCTCACCGGGCACAACGAAGTGGACCACGGCTCGGTGATTCCAGGAGAAGCCCTGGGGCCAGCACAGCTTGGGCTCCGGGGCGCGGACGCTCAGGACGCGCCTCCGGCTGCTCTGCGGGCTCCCAGCGAGGCCCTGCGGGTTCTGGGCCTCGGCCTCCTCCCCGCCGGCCGCCTCCACGCCCTGCCAGCCTCGCGTGGACACGAACTCAGAGAGCCGCACCCGGCGCTGGCCCCGCTCCAGCAGCTCCAGCTCCAGGAGGTAGCGGCCCCCACGCAGGTGGTCCTGGCGCTTCTCCACGTTCACGATGCGCTGCAGCTGGTACCTCCTGTGGCAGAAAGGGCGGGGGCTGGGGTGACCCCGCCCCACATGGCGGGCGGCACGGGTGGCAGAAGCCGGCAAGGCCGGCTGTCGGGAGACCTCGGTCTCCACCCCAGCGTCGCCGTGGGTGAGATGCCACGCGATGCTCACCCGCTCCAGTGATCGCTGTTCTCCGTCTTTAAAAAGGTACCTACTGAGCTGGACAATGTCTAGTCTTTTAGCTCTAAGATCCTCAGTACATAAGGGGAACGAGGGAGTCGCAGAGAAGAGTTTCCGTCAGAGACTGGCCCTCAGTGCACGACTCCGTTCAGTCAACAGTGACCGAGACAGAGCGGATCATCAGGGGACACTGACTGGTCGGCACAACATCCCTGTTCACCCGGAAACGCAAAGCAAAGCCACCGTGCGGCCCCACTTCACACCCTTTGGGGTGGTGATGCCAAGAAAAGGGAAAATAACAGGATCTGAGGGAGATGTGGAGAAGCTGGGACCTTCCCACGCCTCTGAGGGGAATGGAAAATGGTGCAGACGGTTTGGAAGAGAGATTGGTAGCTCAAAAATGTGAAGCACAGGGGGAGGGTGCAGCTCAGTGGTAGTGGTAATTAAAAAAGTAAACCTACCTACCCCCTCAAAAAAAACCTGAAAAAATATGAAAAAATTTTTTTGATTGGAAAAAAGTGATGAAAACATTCTGGGTTCAGATAGTGGTGATGACTGCACGACGTTACAAATATACTTAGAAACCACTAAGAATTAAATGGTATGTGCATTTTATCTCCATCAGAAGACGTAGGCGGGTTGAATGGACCCATGAAGAAACAAGAGCTCAGCCCTGCCTCCTGCCCGAGCCCTTCCACCCCACGGCCGGGTCTGTGTGTCGTTCCAGCCTCAGTGAGGCCCGCTCTGTCGGTATGCTAGCTCCTCCGCGGGGAGGCGACCGCCTCTGTGCAGCCTTCCCGTGCTCAGCATGTGTCCTGGGCCAGCCCTGGCCCCGGAGGACACTGTCTCCCCAGGCGCCCGTGGCCGGGGCCCCTGCAGCGCTCCTGCCCTCCCCGCCCGGCCCAGGAGAGCCCTTTACCTTACCCCCGGCTCCTCTGGTTGAGCTTCTTCAGGAAGACCCGCACGACCTCGAGAGCCTCCTGCTCTGGAAGCAGCAGGTTGCCAGACGTGTTACAGTTCAGGTCGATCCAGTCTGTCCGCAGGGCTTGGAAGTCGAGGTTGCGGGCACTGAAGGTCTGGTCCCAGTTCACCACCGGGTCAAACATGGACAGGTACTCCAACACCTCACTCACCTCCTCCTCCTCCCCCTCCTCCTCCTCCCCACCCTCGTCCTCTCCCTCCACCTGTCCTTCCTGGCCTGCAGCGGCTACCTCCTCCTCCATCCCTGGCCGACCCCTCCCGGGGCCCGGAGGCTCCATCCTGTCTCCCCTTCTCTGCTCTGCGATGTACGACTCGACCTGATTCAGCCACTGGGACTGTGCCAGCGTCCTCCTGGGGCTGTCCCCGGTGGGCCTGGGCCTCTTCACTTGAGGAGGGGGCCCCTTGTCAGGACGACGGGGATCCTGGCGGGGCTGGGGGCTGGGTTTCCTCGCTCTCTTCTCCGCCGGCTGGGCTGGCCTGTCGCTGGTCCTCGCCGGGAAGCGGGCTGTGGAGTTCCGCCTGGAAGAGGAGGCTGGCGGAGCGTCCCGAGGCTGAGCCAGCACTCTCCGCAGGCTTCGGAGGCTGCGGTTGGTGGTGGCCGGCCCAGGGGCGGTGGGTGGCCCCTGTTTCCCCTCTGGTGTCCTGTCCTGGTCCTCGGGGGCAGGGGTGTCCTCTGCCGCTTCTCCATACTGGGACTCTTCCAGGAGCCCTTCCTCGAAAGCTGCTGCTGATAACAACCGTGCCTCACGTCAGTGTTTTCCACCTCTCCCCAACAAGGCACACAGACGGCTGCTGACCGTGCGGGTGAGATGCTGGGGTCCCAGACTGGGCCCGCATCGGGCTTCGTCACTGACTGGCTGTGTGACCCAGGGCGAGTGACTCGACCTCAGCTAAGCCCAGGTCTCCGCTGGCGTAAAGGGAACAGCAGCCCATCTTCCACAGGGCTGTTGTGAAGACCGAGAAGCACGGAAAGTGCTGGCAGGAGCCTGGCTCCGGCAGCAACGCAACAGACGGCCCCAGCCAGGCCCTAAGCCCGCAAGGAGAGAGGCCACGGGAAGACTGCTTCTCAGGGCAGCCCTTCCCCAAGGGTGTGCGGGGCAGCAAGGACCTCCGGCAGCCCAGTAACGTCCTCCGGGGCCCTAATCTCCCCCCGTGACCAGCAGGCCATGAGAAACAGTCCACGTGTGCCTTGAAAAGGAACGGATGCGGGGAGAGGGGCTGCTCCCCGCTCCCTTGGGCTTGCGGGGGCAGGGCTGTGGGGTTTGGATTCTAAGCTCCTCGGGGGCAGGCCTGGCACGGTCTAGACTTTCCCTAGAAACACCGTCATCCTGCAGCCTGGCCTGGACACTCAGCTGTCACTCCGTACCTGGCTGCTCCGGCCCCTGCTTCTCCGGCTGGTCAATCTTGATGTAGTCCTGGAAGCCGAACCTGCAGGAGGGACGAGGTGAGACTGGCATCCGAGCCCTGCAGGCCACGTGGGAAGCTCTGGAGCCTCGCCCAGCTGGGAGGGCAGGGAGGAGGCCGCGTGTGCACGTGTGCACGTGTGTGCGTGTGTGCGTGTATGAATCGCCCAGAAGAGCCAAGGCCCCTGGTGGCCCCTGCAGCCCGGGCAGCTCTCAGGGCTCCTGCAGGGCCTCCGTCAGGCCGTCATGCCCCACGTGGTGCCGCTCACCTGTCTGGGTAGTAGGTGTTCTCCTGGTAGAAGCACTTGTTCTGGGTCTCCATGTGGCTCAGACGGGTGTAGTCGTTGGGGTAGACAAAGGACAAGTGAACCTGGAGGTGGAAAAATAGGGGGTGGGGAGAGCAGGGCTGCTGCGGATCCGGGGCCACTCTCTACGCCTCCTCCCCGGGGCCCTGGACCCCACAGACCCCTGAGTCGAGCCCCCGGTGCACACACACGTCCCTCCTCTCCTGGCCTGGCTCATTCTCCGCAGCTGCGCCCCTCCTCTCCTGCCTACACTTTCCCCTCTCCTGCCACAGCCCACAGCCCCAGGACAACCCCTGTTACTCCTGCACTGCTTTTTGCCCCCTTCAGACAGAACACCACCACCAAAACCCTCCCAATCCTGCCCGCCCACTCCGACCCACGGCTGACTCCTGGCCTCTCTCCCACCTCCCACGCTGCCCGCAGCTCCCACTGTCATCCCTGGACTGGGTGCACGGTGTCACTCTGCCTCCCGTTTCCACATGGGCTCTAGGTTCTCTGAAGCTAGCCCCTCCACAGGTCACTTCCCCAGCACCTTGTCCGTAAGTTTAAGAAACACTGCAGCTGATCGTCTGGTAGGACTGACCCAGGTGGGACAGGGCCGGGGGCCCTCGGGGCAGGTGGCAGGAGGCCTCAGGCCAGCCCACCTCGCAGCAGCGCTGGGCAGGGCTGGTGTGGGACTTGCTACCGCGGGGCATGCTCAAGCTTTGCAGGGCAGTCCATCTGGGCCGAGGCACCGTAAAAGGCCAGTTCTCCCGGCCTAGGGACCCATGAGGCCATCCCGCCGGCTGGCGTGTGGCGTGGGGACCCCCTCAGCAACCCCCCAGCCACAGGCAGCAAGCCCTCCCTCACTCCAGCCCCCACTGCCCGGCCCGAGACTTACAAACCGGAGTCCCTGGTAGCGCTGCAGAGGGAGCCCATCCACCAGGTAGCTAGGTTTGTAGGGACAGTCCGGCAGGACGTGGCGGACGTGAGACTTGGGGATAAGAGTCTCTGGGGACAGAAGGGAAGCAGGATGAGGCGGGAGTGGGAGCCGGAAGGCTCACAGCCACGAAGGCTCCAGCGGAGAGGCGAGGGCTGGAGTCTGCTGCCCCCAAATCGCACATTTTCCTAGTCACTCGTGACAGCTGTGTCCACGTGCCGCAGCTGAGGCCACAAACCGAGATGGGGCCCCTCTTGGGGGTGGGGGTGGGATTCAGGGCACAGTGTGGCGCTGGGGTCGCCGCAGGGCCAGCCTCAAAACAGGTTTAGGAGCTTCCAGGCCACGAAGCCTCACCCTAGTGCAGGGCCACTAACTGAACTTCCTTCCAGTTC